AGGCAGAGGCAGGAGGATCTCTGTGAGTTCGAGGCCAGCCTGGGCTACCAAGTGAGTTCCAGGAAAGGCGCAAATCTACACAGAGAAACCCTGTCTCGAAAAACCAAAAAAAAAAAAAAAAAAAGATTTATTTATTATGTATACAGAAGGGGGTACCAGATCTCATTACATATGGTTGTGAGCCACTGTGTAGGTCCTGGGAATTGAACTCAGGACCTCTGGAAGAGCAGTCGATGCTCTTAACCTCTGAGCCATCTCTCCAGCCCCTCTGTTAGTTTTTTTTTTTTAAATCAACTTGTTATAAGCTAGATTCATCTGAAAAGAGGGCACTTCAATTGAGAAAATGCCCCCACCAGATTGGCCTGTGAACAAGCAAGCCTGTGGGACATTTTCTTAATTAAAGGTGTACCCTGCCTGGCTGGTTTGTTTGTTTGTTTTTTTAGGGTTAAAAATCTTTAAAAAACAAACCTGTAACTTTACCAGGTCTGATGGTGCACGCCTTTAATCCCAGCACTTAGGGAGCAGACACAAGTGGATCTCAGTGAGTTCGAGACCAGCCTGGTCTACATAGTGAGTTTGAGACCAGCCTGGTCTACATAGTGAGACTCATCCACTCACCCACCTCCCCAGGTAACCAACCAACCAAACAACAACCTGTAATTTCTTATGGCCAATGCAAAAGTCAGTTGATTTTTTTTTTTTTGATGCAGTAACTCATAACGTGCTTTCCATCTGTGTAACAAGAATACCGTATCTGACCAACTTTATAAGGGGAAGGGGTTCTTTCTAGCTCTCAGTTGGGGAGATTTTGGTCTATAGCTGCTTGGGCCTGAGGCAGCTCATCTCCACAAAAGCTGTTCACCTCATGGCAGCCAGGAAGCACAGAGAGAGGGAGAGGAGAGGCAGGGTCTCTTTCATGAACGTACCTCTAAGGACCTTTCTCCCTTCCACTGGGCTCCATCTTCTGAAGCTCCGCTGCCTCCCAGGAGCACGATCTTAGATCTGCTGTGCTTGGCAGGAAGCACCTTTACCTGCTGAGCCATCTCTCTGGCCCTTAGGCTTCTTTTAAATAAAAGCAGAAGCTGCTGGGCAACATTCCCATGCAATCGCAGCCTCTCCAATTTGATTTTTTAGAACACAATCCTGATGGCCTTTGCCAGCTGTAGCCAAGATTTGTGTGTTACAGAGGACTACCACTCACTGCCTCCCGCTGCCTCCCACTGCCTTTCACTGCCTCCTAATGCTTCCCACTGCCTCCCACTGCGTCCTAATGCTTCCCACTGCCCCCCACTGCCTCCTAACGCTTCCCACTGCCTCCCACTGCTTCCTAATGCTTCCCACTGCCCCCCACTGCCTCCTAACGCTTCCTACTGCCTCCCACTGCTTCCTAATGCTTCCCACTGCTTCCTACTACCTCTCACTGCCTCCTAATGCTTCCAGCTGACTCCCACTGCCTCTCACTGCCTCCTACTACCTCTCACTGCCTCCCACTGCATGCTGGTCAAGTCTTTCCTGGAGATTGAAAGTCTCTGGCACTGATTCTAATATGTCATCATCCCTATAGATAATGCAGAGACGAATATGACCTTGGAGCTGCCACCTCCAGGGACCCTCCCTGACTTCAGCACCTCAGGAAACAGCGAGGAGCCTGCCAGGTGACTCCTAACCCCTCCCGTAGGCAGGATGGAATGGCCCCTAGTGTGCTCAGGCGATGCCCGGGGTAACCTGAGGTGCAGGGGTGTCAGGTGGGGTTGGGAGTGGGGCATGACTGTGTGTCTGTCTCTATGATGACAGGATTGTAAAGCCAGAAAGTCTAGAAACTTAATCCCTGCCCCCGATGTTCTGGGTTCCCAGGCTCTCTTTACCTCTCTAGAGGAAGAATCACCCTTCATTAGACACACCCCCCTTTTGCATGGAATTGTGTTTGTCACCCTGTTCTGGGTTTCCTTTGGTACAGTACCGCCTCTACCCAGAGCCTCCTGGGAGATGCCCAGACCAGCAGTAGGATGCAGCCTACCTCTCCCTTGTCCACAGGAACACCGTTTCTGGATCCAGGTATTGATTGCTCACTGTCCAAAGCCAGTGGCAGAGCTGGGGTGGGGATTCCTTCCAGGGCTGTGGCCCGAAGTATGATATGGGAGTAGAGATTGACCCCAGCTTTCTGGCTTCTAGAGATGAGGCTCTGTCACTTCCTAATACTATTTCATTCTTGGGACAGGACCTTCTTTCCATGACTTCATACTCATGACCTGTAATTGCTACCCAAAGTATAGTTGCTAGGGGGTGTGTGTGACTCAGTTGGCTGAGTATTTATCTAGAATGCCCAAGACCCTGGGTTTGATCCCTACCAGGGTATACATGAGACTTAGTGCTGTGTGTCTGTAACCCAGTGCTGAGTGTGGTAGTGTGCGTCTGTAACCCAGTGCTAAGCACAGTAGTGCACGTCTGTAACCCCAGTGCCGAGAGATGGAGGTAGGAGAAGTTCAAGGTCGGGCCAGTGACATGGCTCCCTTGCCATCTGCCCTGCCCAAGGACTCAAGGACCTGAGTTTGGTTCCCAGAAATTATGTAGAGGTGGAAGGAGAGAACTAATTTCACACACCTAACCTAACACACACACACACACACACACACACACACACACACACACACACACGGAAAATTCTTTAAAACCAAACAAAAACCTCTAAGTATGGTGGTACATGCTTTTAATTCCAGCACTTCAGGTGGCAGAGGCAGGCAGATCTCTCTGAGTTCAGAGCCAGCCTGTACTACATGTTGAGTTCCAGGTCAGCCAGGGCTACATAGTAGCCTGATCTCTACCAGGGTATACATGGGGCTTAGTTCTGTATGTCCATAATCCCAGTGCTGAGCACAGTAGTGTAGTAGGTATACATAGTATAGCAGGTGTACATAGATCCTGTCTCAAGAAAAAAAATAGTTGTTAAAGGTCACCTTCCGCCATGTAGACAGTTCAAGGTCAGCCTGGGCCACATGAAACCCTATTTAAAAAGAAGTTATTGAACGAGTTACTGAATGATTAGGAGCTTAATTCTTTTCATCCTCCGTTTCCTCAGATGTAAAATGGAAAGCGAGTAGGCACCCAGGGTTGTCAGCATATAGCACATGTATGGTAAGCATATTACCGGAGCTGGATAGAGGCAGCGGCTGTCCATGCGAATGAGGTTAACACCAGGCAATTGGTTTTAGGACTAGCAGTACTAGTTGCGGACACAAGATGGCGATAGTTCTCAAGTTAACAGTTCTCAGTGTGTCATAGAAAAGTTTGAGGGTTGGGGCTGAGGCTTAGTTGGCAGAGTGCCTGCCTAGCTTGCCAGAGGGCCTGGGCACCGTCCTCAGAGCCACATAAACCGGGTGTGGTAGTACACACCTGTAATCCCAGCACCGAGGAGGTGGAGGTAGGTGATCCTGAGATCCCTATCATCCTTGGCTACACAGCAAGTTGTTTGAGGCTACCCAGATCTTGGCCCAATGTCACACAAAGGATACTTGAGCAGTAACTCCCGAGACCTGTACCCAACTAGCAATTGAATAATTAAGATCCCAGAGCAGGCTGTGTAAGGGCACTGGCATGGTCTAGGCTAGGTTCAGGGGTAGAGAGCGCTGGCCTCGTGTGTATTAGGTTGTGTTTGATCCTTGTTATTGTGTAAAAGGATGTGGGATACTGAAGTCACCTAGCCTGGCCTGGCCTGGGTGGTGACTCTCAAGTTGACTTTGGACAAGCTTCAGTTCCCTCCTTTGGCTTTGAAAAAGAACCCATTCATTTATGTGTGTGGTGTGTGAGTGTGTGCATGCCCATGCCGCGGTGTATGCGTACAAGTTAGAGGGCCACTTCTGTGGGGTTCCCTCCTCCACCTTCATGTTGTCTGGATACTGAACTCGGGCCCTCAGGCTTGCAGCAAGTGCTCTACCCTCTGAGCCGTCCCACCAGCCCTCCCCTGTTTTAACGGAGAGAACACGTGCTGTGTGTGCATGCTCTGTGCACAGCGGAGCCGAGCCTGCCTTCAGGAGCTGACGGTCTCAGAGGGTTTTCCTAACCAGCCTCCGCCCTCCCTATCCCAGCTAGCCATGGCTCTCAGCCTTCTGGAGTTCAATTCCTTCTTTACTCTGGCTCCTTTTTTGTTTGTTTGTTTTTATTTTGATATGGGGTCTCACTATGTAGCCTTGGCTGGCCTGGAACTAGCTGTGTAGACCAGGCTAACCTCAGACTCACAGAGATTCACATACCTTTGCCTCCCTACTGCTAGGATTACAGGTGTGCACCACTTTTACCCGGTTCAGTATGATTCTTTGATGCCTTCATTTTTTACCCTCTAAATGGCTTGTTTTTCTTGCTTTCCGAGTTAGCTGATCAGCTTCCTGGAGCCAGATGAGGGAAGGTAGGCAGGTAAGGGCTGAATCAGATAGATGGTCCAGCTTGGAGAAGGTCCAGAACTGCTCACCTCAGTGGGACCCATGTCCCCGGAGAAGGAGGAAGTGGGCTGTGCCCAGAGCTGTCCTGTACGGCTGTAGGGAAGGTCCCTGGCTCCTAGCTGTCCACAGAGTACAGGACGGCACTGTGTTGCAGGGCCCATGCTCTTCTGGGTGGCCATGGTGATGCTGCTGGTTGGCTCCAGCTGTTTCTTCCTGTGTTACTGGAAGGCCTGCAGGAGGCGGATCCAGCAGAGTAAGTGTCTTGGGGTCCTGGGGAGGGTGGGCTGCTTTATGCCGGCCTGGTCTGAGTGTCTGCCCTGCCTGCCCCAGGGTACTGCTGCTCACCCCCTAAGTCCCACTCCTGGTATCTCTGCAGAGTTCCACCTGGACTACCTAGCCCAGACCTTCCAGCCGAAGATGGAGCAGGTGGGTGAGTATCTGGTGGGGCAAAGGGCTGCCTGGGCCAGGACGACAGGCACGTGACGTGGCCATGGTAGGCTCCGGGGCTGGGCCGACTCACACCAAAACACTGTCCACCGAGAGGGGGTTTTGAGTTGGAGAAGTTTCAGAAGTACATGCTCGTACCTCCTCAGCACTCCCCAGTCAGGGGGTTTTTGTATTTTGATGGTTTCAAGCTTGTTTCCATGAGCTGTGAGGCACGGCTCATTGAAACCGGTGTTTGCTTTCTTGACATTTTTCTAGTATTAGAGTTTCCATTGCCGTCAGTTCTTTTTTCTCTCTCTCTCTCTAAACATTCGTGAGAACAGTTTTGTTATAACGAGGAAGACAGAAAAAAAAAAGATAAAAAAACAAAAATAACACCTAAAGAGGCTAGGCTTGCAGGCAACTGAGTGAGGCTGGGGTCAGTGTTGTGTCTGAGCCTGGTTCTGGACCTCTGGCTTCCAGTGGGTCCCTTGATGTCTGGGCCTCAAGGGTTGAAATGAGAGGACGTTTAAGTCAGGGTGAGCACACAGGGTACAGGTGACCATAGATAGCCTAGGCAAGGGTGGGCATGGCCCGGGCAGTGTGGGCCTGAGCAGGCTGTGCATGGCCAGGGTAGGGTGGGCATGGCCTGGGCAGCGTGGGTCTGAGCAGGGTGTGCATGGCCAGGGTAGGGTGGGCATGGCCTGGGCAGCGTGGGTCTGAGCAGGGTGTGCATGGCCAGGGTAGGGTGGGTATTCACCCAGGCAGTGTGGGCCTGAGCAGG